CTCATATACCTGTTTATTAAATGACAAGAGGAACCCCTAATTTTAGTTCTAAGGAACAATATTTTTGTCGTCTAGCAAAAATAACCTTTCTTTTAAGGAAGAAGTGAAATATTTACAACTAAGTTATTTAAGTGCAAAAAATGAGAATAGACACTCTTGCATCTAGTTTTTAATTCCCAGATATGAGCATTTAACCCCTAAAGAAGAAGAGGCATTTACAGAGGGCATTCCTTAGATTATAGAAGAAGCTCAAAGATTTGGAAAAAGAGGTACTGGAAAGGAAACTGTATTAATTAGCCCCTACAATTTCTACTTTTCTCTATGCTTCCTTCTCAGAGTAGGACTTCTTGCTTGCAAGATTTTATTCCTGAGGATCCCTAAATTGCAACTAATTACTCCTAAGCCAATGTCAGCAGATAAAGAAAAAATATCTTAAAGTTCCTTTCCAACTTAATTATCCCACAGATGTAATAGCCCTGCTTCCAGCAAAAGCAAATCCTCACCTCAATGGTTTCACACTCACTAATTTATAATAATGACTCTTCAAATCATCCAGTGGGTTCCAAGGTTTTTTCCATTGTGTTGTTTTCTCTCAGTTATTCCTTTGGAGTTTATCTTGGCTAAGGCTGTGCCATTGCAGCATCTTGCTAGTGACTAAATAAAAAAGCATGCAGAACTGTGTAATAAGTGTGCAGAAGCTGTTTAATCATAAGTGCATGGTTTATTTCCTTGCTAATATCCAATAGATAAGGAGATATTTAAATCAGTTTACTAAATATTGTTTAAATCAAATTCCAGAAGGAATAAAAATCCACATATCCATATGTTACCACAGCTAAAAGTATAACACCTTGTTGGAAATTGACTCCAGAGACAGTTTGAGTATCACAAATAAAATCAGATTACTTTATAATTGCATCTTGTTTTTAACCAGAAGGGTTGTTACCTACCCTAGGCTGAATGCCTGCTTCATTCACTAGACATGAGATTTAATTATTCGAAATAGTTTCCCAAACCAAATATACACTCAAAACATGAACACTGAATTACATGAAACATGAAATCACTGATAAAAAATTGCAAGAGAAAAAAATAAAAAGAAACAATAAAATATGATCCATGGAAATGTACACTAAAATAGAAATTGCCAAAAATGGTTTCCAAATAATTTATCTTAAAATATATATACAAAATTCTAAAGTCACTTCAAAATAGTCAGCAATCTTTTAGCTGTATTGTTTGTGATTTTCTTAGAATGTGTTAATTAAATATTTTATTGTGAGATAATCACAGATTCACATAGAGTTACAAGAAATAATATAGAGTGGCCCTCTATGCTTTTCATAATATCTAGTTTCCCCCAGTGGTAGTATCTTGCAAAACAATAATGAAGTAAAACATCCCAGATGTTGATATTGGTACAGATTACCACAAAAATCCCTCAAGTTGACCATTTATACTCATATCCACTTCCCTCCTAACCACCCTCCACCACTCTTTCCTCATCCCTGGGAAACCATTAATCTGTTCTTTATTTGTAAAATTTTGTCACTTCAAGAATGGTGTATAAATGGAGCGTTACCTTTTGGAGTTGGCTGTTTTTCATTCAGCATTATTCTCTAGCAATTCATCCAGGTTACTGTATATTCACAGTCCTTTCCTGTTCATTGCAGTGTGCTACTCCATGGCGTGCAGGAACCACAGTTTGTTTTTCCATCCAACTACTGAAGGACATCTGGGCTGATTCTAGTTTCAAATAAAAGTTACTACCAATAAAACTGTTATGAACATGTGTGCCCAGATTGTAATATAAATATAAGTTTTCATTTATCTGGGATAAATTTCCAGGACTGCAATTGCTGGGTCATATGATAATTGCATGTTTAATTTCAACAGAAACTGCCAAAATGTCTTCCAGAGTGGGTGTATCATTTTACGTTTCTACTGGCACTGAAAGTGTCATCTACTTTCTCTCTTTTATCAACAGCATTTGCTCTTCTTGTTTTTGTTGTAACATTTTAAATTTGCATTCTTTCACTAACATTTTGTGAATTATCAGCATACAAGTCTCCTGTGATTTTGCAGAACTCACTGACAAATAAAGTTCCAGTTATTTCATCAATTTTGTAAGCTTCTTTATGTGGACAATTACGTCTTCTGCAAATGTAGATTTCTTCATTTCCAACGTGTATTTCTTTTTGTTGCCCTCACTGGTTAGAACTTCCAGTATTATGCTGAATAAGAATGATGAGAGGGACCATTTTTGTCTGTTTTTTTTCTCTTAAGGGAAAGGAATTCAGCTATTCACCGTTTAGTAAAGTATTATCTGTAGATTTTAGATGCTCATTATGAAGGTTAGGAAATTTTCCTCTATTCCTCCTGTGTGGAGAGATCTCATAAATGAGTGTTGAATTTTGTTAAGTGGTTTTTCTGCACAATTGATATGATCATGTGATTTTTCTTCTTAGTCTATTAACATAGTGACTTATGATAATGAATTTTAAAATATTAAACTAGCCTTACATCCCTGGAATAAATCTCAGTTGATCTTGATGTCTAATTCTTTTAATATACTGCTAAGTTCTATTTGCTCATATTTAGATAAGAATTTGTGCATTATAATAATAATATTTGTGTTTAGTTTTCCTTCCTTTAAATATTGTTTTCCAGTTATGTAGTAGCCTCAAAAATATTTGGAAGTATACATTCGTAATTGCTTATTAAAGCGCTTCCATTATGACTGGTTCAAACTCGTTGGATGGTACTGAGATCACTGTTACCTTGGTGTTGGCATCTATTGACTGTCTATTCATCCTTGCTGATAATATCACAGAGATTGGTATGGTTCATTATTATTAAAATCTGCATATTTTGAGTATTATATTATCAGACACTGAACCTTATTTAAGCCTTCTTTGGTAGTGAGCTTCCCCTGACACTGCTCCAGCAGGCGTTGAGGAACTATCATCTCCTTATTGCCAGGTCAGATGAGGTGCCCAGTTTCTGCATTTGGCCTCCACTGGCACATGATAAGAGTAGGGGCTTGCTATTGTCTGAATGTTGGTGGTACACCTGAAACTTCTATGTTAGAACCTAATACCCAACAAGAGGTTATTGAGGGGCAGGGCCTTTGGGGAAATGAATAAGTCATGAGGATGGAGGCTTCATGAATGGGATTAGTGTCTTTATAAAATAAGTTGAAAAGGGTACTGTATTAGTCTGTTTTCACACTGCTGATAAAGACATACCTGAGACTGGGAAGAAAAAGAGGTTTAATTGGTATATAGTTCCGCCTGACTGGGGAGGCCTCAGAATCATGGCAGGGGGCAAAAAGCACTTCTTCCATGGCAACAGCAAGAGAGAATGAGGAAGAAGCAAAAGGAGAAACCCCTGATAAACCCATCAGATTTCATGAGACATATTCATTATCACGAGAATAACATGGAAGAGACCAACCCTCATGATTCAATTACTTCCCCCTGGGTCCCTCCCACATTATGGGGGAATTCTGGGAGATACAACTCAAGTTGACATTTGGCTGGAGACACAGCCAAACCATATCATTCTGCCTCTGGTCCCTCCAAATCTTATGTCCTCACATTTCGAAACAAATCATGCCTTCCCAATAGTTCCCCAAAGTCTTAACTCATTTCAGCATTAATCCAAAAGTCCATAGTCCAAAGTCTCATTTGGAAAAAGGCAAGTCCCTTCCACCTATGAGCCTGTAAAATCAAAAGCAAGCTAGTTACTTCCTAGATAAAATGCGGGTGCAGGCATTGGGTAAATACAGCCATTCAAACGGGAGAGATTGGCCAAAACAAAGGGTTACAGGGCCCATGCAAGTCTGAAATACAGTGAGGTAGTCAAATTTTAAACCTTCAGAATGATCTACTTTGACTCCAGGTCTCACATCCAGGTCACACTGATACCAGCAGTGCATTTCCATGGTCTTGGGCAGCTCTGCTCCTGTGACTTTCTGGGTACAGCCTAACTCGGCTGCTATCATAGTCTGGCCTTGAGTTTCTGCAGCTTTTCCAGGTGCACAGTGCAAGCTGGGGACACACCCAAATCATATCATGTACACACACCTTGTACCATGTGAATACACACAGAAGGCACCATCTATGAGGAACAGGCCCTCACCAGACACTGAGGCTGACTGTACCTTGATCAGAAGACTCACATAGGTCTCTCTAAGCTAAAGTCATAGTGTTAACTGTGCTGCATTCTTTTTTGGCAGCTCTCAGGAAAAAAACATTCCTTATCTTACCTATTTTCCAGAGGCTGCTCACATATTTTGGCTCTTGGTCCCCTTTGTTCTTCAGAACCAACCATACTGGGTCACTTCCTTCTTAGGTTTCCATTTCTCTGGCTCTCTTCTTTCTCCTTGATATTTTAAAAACCTTTGCAGTTATATTGGGCACATCTAAATAATCCAGGATAACCTCACTATTTTAAGATCAGCTGATTTACAATTTTAATTCTGTCTTCAAATATATTTCCCCTTTGTCATGCAATGTAACAGATTTACAAGTTACGAAGACTAAGACATGGACATTATTGGAAGGCCTATTATTCTGCCTATTACACTCAGAATAATTGTCATCATTTTTGCAGTAAATTTCTTAAAGGCCAGAACTATTTCTATGTGAATTATGTATTCAGAGTTTGGCAAGATATCCCTGTGAGCTAACCCCAAACATCATCTAACCTTCCTCATACATTTTAGCTGTTAATTTATTGCTAGTGGTAGGGAATTGGGATAGGAGAAGTGTCTTAGGTTTGAAATACAAAGCTCTAATCAAGATTACTTATATTTTTCTGACGTGAAAGCATTTTAGCATAAGTTATGTTAGCAATAAATCAAGAGGAAAAATAGAATAATTGTACTAGGAATCTCATTTATTCACCTCTTTCCTACACTTTTGCATGCTGAGGACAGGAAGACGATATAAAGGGGCAAGGAGAGACTCAAACACCACCTCACTTTGTTCCTCCAGGTTGTACAAAGGTGAAGATGTCCTGACTATGGTAGATCTCATTCTGGGCTGTTAGATCATCAACAGGTGAGCACAGGAGAGGTAACCTGATAACATTGAGAAGAAGGTAGGTTATGATGTTGTTCCCTCATGAGGTGACTGGCTTGATGTTTTGTTGTTGTTGTTGTTGTTGTTTGAGACACAGTCTGGCTGGGTTGCCAGGCTAGAGTGCAGTGGCACAATCTCTGCTCACTGCAAGCTCCACCTCCTGGGTTCAAGCGATTCTCCTGCCTCAGCCTCCTGAGTAGCTGGGACTACAGGCCTGCGCCACCACACCCAGCCGATTTTTGTATTTTTAGTAGAGTCGGGGTTTCACCATGTTGGCCAGGATGGTCTCGATCTCTTGACCTCATGATCCACCCTCCTTTGCCTCCCAAAGTGCTGGGATTACAAGCGTGAGGCCACTGTGCCTAGCCTGGTTTCAGGTTTTAACCTTAGTTTTGCAAATTAGGATCTGACAACTAATTGAATAAATTGGACTGTTGGTACCATCTACTTGACTTTCCATCACCAGGGATGGGTCTAAATGCCCCAATCCATTTTCACAAAGGTTTAGAAAATATTTTCTAATTACCATTACAAATCACATGTTTCTGGGAACTACCTTCTATTAACATAATTAGCTAAAATATTTAGAATCTAAAAGCTTAGAAGATAATGTATGAATACTGATTCTCTTTCTATTTTCTCCTTGTGAACCATTATGATTATCGTGGAAGTGACAATGAGAGACACCTCCATTGATTTTATGCCTATTGAGATATAGCCTTAATGGTGCCAGGATGTTTCTACCTTTTGCCACTTAAGTTCATTATTAAAAGTCAGTGAAGTGTCTCCCAAGAGTGCCTCCTTCACTAAGCTTTGTACTATTACTCTGTTCACAATGAACCATTTATTTTTGGTGGTCTTTCATACATGAGGCAGGAATTCACAAAGATGTCAAAAAAAAAAGAAAAAAAACATGGTATAAAGACTGTATAATGAAATAAGTTTGAAGGACGAAGTGCAAAACTGCTTCCCACAAAATACCATGGAGAAATCAAAGTGACGAATATAAATTATATAATTATGTTAAAATAAATATATATATAAATAATAAAGTATCAACTATAAGTTTTGCTATGTAGTATTAAATAATTAGGCAGAAAATGTAGGAAAATATTTGTGGACTGGCCCTGAAAAAAGTATGCCTGAATCCCGCCAAAATTTTATTATAGGATATAAAATTGGGAGACATTTTATTACTTAAGGGATTTAAATAACAAAGGATGTTTCAGAATTGAAAGAAAAAAGAAAAAACATGTGAGCAATAGCAAAAAAGTAATAAGAAATAAACAATTCAAGGTAACAATAACAAGAAAAGAGTATTTCCATAAATACATGACATAGTATAAAATGAAATATCAGTATAAACCAAGTACATGTACAATTGTTTGGTTCAATATTTCCTACATTGAAAGAGCTTAACAACGTCAACTGTTATTTGATAGAAACCATCTGAATGGAATTTCTTAAAGTTTCAATCATTAGACATGTAAGCCTAATTCGTCATCTTCCTTCCTTTCACAATGCAAGAAATGTACCTATGGAGTCCTCCTTCCTGTCTTACAAAGCATAGCTATTTTCTTCTGTAACCCTAACCCTAATTCTAGCTTAAACTCCAGATCTAACCATCAGTTTCTGCATAATCAATCACTCCCGTTCTACTGAATCTTTGACATCTTGTATAATATTCTGTCATGTCAAAGTAAGCTTCCAGGAAAAGGTCTTAGAGTTCTGATAGAGTAGCGTCTAACCTTAAAACTCTTGGATAACTGGTGACATGAGACTTTTAGGACTCTCAGAAAGAGTAGATATGAAGGTTTGAAAGGAGAGTTTAGGAAAAGGAGTGAGATATGAGTAGTATCAATGGAATCCATCCATTTCTCTCCCCTAGATCCATTTTGTAGGGCAATTGACACTTGATAAAGAGTCGGACTGAGGGGAAGTGAATCACAAGGAGTTGTGAAGCACAGCTCTTTGATCACATAAGCCCCCTGAAAAGGGTTGGAAAGATGAGAAAAGATTACCAATAGCAATGGAAACATCTTAGAGGAGAATATTCTAAAACCAGAACAGGGAGCTAGTTGCCCCAAATGGAATTCACAGATTTTTTTAGCTAGGATAATAAAATCAGGAACAAAGGGAGTTCTGAGAACTCCTGGAGCCTAGTACAGACTGGAAGACTGCAAATTTGCATGTGGAAATAGATGACAGCAAGCATCTTAGGTATGAAAAAGTAGCTAACACATTCTGGAACTCTCAAAGATGTGGCTTTCCTGAGGAGAAAAAAACATCAGTATATCAGAATGAAAAATTGTAAATTTTTGCGTTTTTTAACAGTAACTTTGCTCTAACATGAAAAAATATTAATCTTTATTTTTATAGACTTGTTTTTAGAAAAATGGTTACCTTGGAGATTTATGAGTTCTGCAAGTAACTGAGTGAAAAAGAAAAAGATACTTAGAAGGGAAGAGCTTAGGAATTATTTTCTATTTGGAGTAATCACCCTGTATGTATAAAAGGTGAAAATGCTTAAGTGAATTTTTCATTGGTAAAATATTAAAAGAAAAGTTCATTGTGAAACCTCTTTTAAACAGATTTGTTGAATTATAATTTATATAATATAAATTGAAACTGTTCTGTAAATAAATCTGATTAAATGATTTTCAGTAGATTCTTAAAGTACAATAATCATCATGGTTGAGATTTAGAATATTTTCAATATACCTAAAAAGTTTCCTAACATCATAGGCTAATGGCAGGCAATGATTGGGCAAAGACTGGGCTTAATCACTTGAGCCTATGACACTTCCTTCTGAAGATTAATCTGTGTGTGTGGGTTGGGCAATACATTCAAAGTTTAGGAAATTTTGATGTCAGCCTCAGATTTTACTTTCTTCCAGAAACTCTGTTCCTCCATTACACATTTTCATAGTTTCACAGTCAGACAAAGATGTACCAAGAAGTTTCCACACCTTATGTGGCTCCTTCACTTCCAGGATCTCCCCAAAAAGTTTCCATCTGGTCCTCCACTTGCCTCAAATGGTACAGCAACTTCAAGCAAGCTAAGCTGTGGCTCTCTTTATGTTTTCCTATTGAATTTGTTCTTCTTACTGAGGATCAATGTTTTCCCTCCACTCCAAAGCAGTTCAGTTACCTCATGAAGCAAATCTGCTGATATTCGTGGTCAATCCTGTCCTGATAAAATCACATTATTCATGGAGCTGGGGACTGCACCAGAGAAGAAACTGCCACTTCCATTGTTCTTACCTAGAGTTTGCAAATAAGGATTTCTCAATTTGTGGTTATCCAGTTATCAGTTTTATGCTTGTTTTTGTAGGAAAGATTTGCCGATTATTTAATTCCTCTGTAAGTTCCCAGAATTTCTACTTTTAAGAAGTAAAATAGTTTAAAAACAATGTTGTGAGGTGCAGTTGCACAAGCCTGTAAATGCAGCACTTTGGGAGGCTGAGGCAGGAGGATTGCTTGAGCCCAGGAGTATGAGGTTACAGTGAGCTATGATTTTGGCACTGCACTCTAGCCTAGGTGACACTGCATTCTGGACCTAGGCAGCACTCCAACCTAGTTCTCTTCAAAAAATATATAATATATATTAATATTTATATTGCAGTCATAATTTTAGGATTTGAAATAATATGTTTTGTTATCATGTTTTTAGGGAATAAGTTATTAGACTTTGCTGAGTGGTGAAACTCTCAAACCATATCTCACAAATTAGATCTCAAATAACTATAACCAGTCTTCTATTCTCCAGGCAAAAGTTTGGATGTTCACTTTCTAGGGAAACTGAGCAGATCCAAATAAACAACCTGTAGATTCTGATGTTTTGTCATCCACATGAGGTGTTCACGTAACTTGTAGTATAGCCCAGTCACACAAAGGAACCTTCCCATTAGCATTTTAGTTATTCAGCTTTAAATATTTAGATTTCAATATAATATTAAATGAACAAAGGGAAAAGAAGTATAGAAGATTTTTAAAGGCTCTAAGCATATTTTATTAAAAACCAAAATACACAATGGAAAAGAAAAACAAAGCACAAAAACAATCAACCAAAATATAATAATAGTTGGGAGCAAGCAGTCACATAATACTGGAAGCAGAAGAAAATGTTAAATCAAGAATTATAATAACCTTAGAGTGATAGAAGAATAGTTTGTATCTATGAAACTGGAATAAAAATTTCATAAAAGGAGCCAAAAAAAAAAAAGAAATCTTGGAAATACGAAAATATGATAGCATAAATTAACGATTCAATAGGACAGCTGAAAAATAAAGCTCAGAGATATCCTTGGCAGTCAAAAAATGTGGATGGCAAATGTGAACGCAAAGAAAACTAGGGAATTATTGTAGAAGGTTTAACATCCAACTGTGAGAAATTCCATAAAGGGGAAAATATAATTACATAGGTATTATACAGAGATATATATGTGTGTATATATATAATTTATATATTTGTATAACATTGTCAAGACAATTATGAATTGAGTGTGGGAGGCAGCAATAGACAATGAAAAAATAAAATGGGGAAATATTCCATGCAAGAAAAGAAAAAAGAAGACATATGTAGGAAGAAGGATGGTGCAATGACACAAAATGTAGAGAAAACAACACATAGTTTCTAGAACTAAAACAAACGACATGCTTCAGAAGGAACAGGAGATAAGGTGAAAGGGTCTCAGGGATCCAAAAAGAATGAGCCTCATTGGCTCAACTAAAGAATTTCCAATTTGTTCCAAAATGCCTATGAGTCTTGGATTGATGAAGTTAGAATAGCATTCATTTTCTTAAAAGTGTATTGTCCTTTAATACAGTTTCAAAGTTACTGATTCTACTGAAAAGAAACTGTCAATGTATGAACTTGTAGGTGTTTAACACCTTGAGGTAAGGAAGGTGGACTAAGACTTGAGGCAAAAGGTTACAGCAGCAGGCGGCAGGCAGCTGAGCCATAGCAGCTCCAGCGA